GCTGGCTAGGGAATTCTGGGAGTTGAAGTCCACACATTTTCAAGTTGCCAAGGTTGAGAAATACTGTGTTAGAGTGACCTGTAATTGAAGTAGTTCATGTTATTATTAGTAACAGATTCATAACTGAAATCAAGGTGATGTATCCCATCAAAAAGGCATATGATATATTTAATGTATCATGTCATTTAGCCTTCAGCGACCTTTATTTTCTTCTTTGGTAATTCAAGTATGAAAATAAAAACAATAATTGTTATAGACTCAATTCTTATTGGTGAGCAGATTCAATAAATCCACTAAATATAATCTACAAGTAGCAAATAAAAAAGGCAAAAACTATGGTAGAAATCTAATTGCAGCAATGTATTCTCTTCCCTCATTTTTTCATCCAAGTCCACCTATATCATTTGTTAAGATAAAATATAAGAAGGAAGTCCAACATATAAAACAGTTCCTTTTAATGTACTTTCCCTCCTTCATTGAAATTCAGGGGCAATCCCAACTTCATTCAGTTCAGTTGTGAATTTAGCCCCTGACATTTATCGTGCACAGCATTTTAATAAGGCCAGACTTTGGGCATTTTAAAGTTATTCTTGTCCTAATCAGCATGGAGCATTTCTTCTTTAAACTTAGAGTTTAGCCATGAGTTAACTCCTTTGATCATTCTGTGGTGCCCCAACATAGAATAGGATATAGAAAGATGACTTAGTCCCAAAGAAATTCTTAACATCACTCTTTTTAAAAAAACAGAACAATAACAGGATGCTTGTTTTTTCTAGTCCTCTTTTCCTTTTGTTTCTCTAATGTCATCCATAACCATTCTCAATGGAATCCTCTGATGTTCAAAAAGTGGATGATTGATTGATTGATTGATTGTTAGGGCACTCTGTGGCTAACCTCATGCACTGCACTAAGCTAGTGTTTTAAACCACAGTTTGGCAGAACAGATGGTGCACTGGCCTTGATCAGTCTTGAAAAATCTAAACCTGATAAGAATTTGGTTAGTACATTGATGAGAAGCTACCACAAAAACCAAGGGCTATAGACTAGATTCAAAAGATAAAAAGTCATCCTGGAAGACTGCTTGACAAACGACTTCCATACTGTTGCCAAAAACAAAGAACACCTCAAAAAAAAAAAAAAAGAACAGCCATGGATGTGTTCAGAAGAAATTGGGAATGTCTGGAGGGCAAATTTAACTTTTTGTGATGAACCAAACCATAATGACGGAGCTCACACATTGTGCAAAACCAAAACCAAAGAAAGCACATTAGCGTTTTGCACAATGCATGGATCCAGCTGATGTGACAGTACTTAGGATGAAGCAAGCTCTTGCAAGGCAGATGGATGTAACACACATGAGAGAGCCAGTTTGGTGTGGTGGTTAAGGCGCTGGCCTAGAAACAAGGAGACCATGAGTTCTAGTCCCCCCTTATGCAAGAAGCCAGCTGGGTGATTTTGGGCCGGTCACTCTCAGCCCAACTCACCTCACAGGGTGATTGTGAGGAAAATAGAAGGCAGAAGCTTTATGTAAGCTGCCTTTAATTATATAAAATAAGTGAATATAAAGCTAATAGTAATAATAAGGTATGTGTGTGTGTCATGTTTATGAAATGAAAACATGTTAATTAAAACGAAATGGCTGACTTAAAGGCACTCATCAAAACTGTTATTTCCAGGGTTAAATATGATTTGGCCACATTACTGTTAGGAAAAGCCAGATGTGTACTACTTAGATTAACAGATTTAACAAATTTAGGCACCACTAGCAGTTCATGCACTGAAGAAAAGGTAATTTTGGAGGTTTGGATATTGCATTGACTTTGAGTAAATTTTGCTAGTACATCTCTTTTAAATATTAAGAGAAGAATTTGCTTGGAGAAACATACTGTCATTAATGTCATCAAGATTTTATGCTGATGTTCTGTAGATTTTTTTCTTTTTTGGTATGGCTATGTAGTATTAAGGACTCTTAAACCTACTCCCTCCCTCCCCCAAGTTTTAATTATGATAATTTTATTCTGCTTAGAATGTATCCTCCATCCCTCTTTTCCATTCTTTTTCCATCCTCTTTTCCACTCCTCCTTCTGAATTTTATTTGTCTGCAGGAAGGGCTGTTGCTTACAGAATTCTTTGTACAGCAACTAGTTTTCCTGTACTTGCCAATAAAAACAATTATTCAGCGAAAGCAGTAACTTCATAAAATTAAACTGAACATTACTTGGTATAATCCAACCACAATTAAGCTCTCTTTTTACTGATTTAAAGTAAAGAAAAGTAAGACTGCTAGGCAGAGTCAGATCTAAAGCCACACAAACCAATTATCCGAATACCAATTATGGGTTAATGCTAGGAGGCTAGAAGGCAGAGAGGAGTGGCATTTTAATTTTTTAGCTTTTGCACAGTTTTGAATTGTAATTTTTAATTCTAATCTGGGTATTGGTGGTATTAGAAATCTGATCTGTCATGTTACAAAAAACAATTGCCAAACTTAAAATCTTTTAAAAGTTGGTTTTTCAGTGGTGCTTAAAAGTTTGTGAATCTATTTGAATTTCTGCCTAAATATGACCTGAAATGTGATCTGTTCTCCAACATCTTCAAAAGGGTTCACAAACATTTAAGCACCACTGTAAGAATAATCCTTCCACACAATCAAAAACTTTAAAGATAGCTAATGAGCATAAGAATGTATAATATTTAGCCATTTTCTAATATTTTTTTCTTTTTGGAATGAAGCCTAATTGATCAAGATATTTAATTTTCCCCGTAATAAATTTTAATACAATTAACTAACCATTTAGTATATATTTGCAATCCAGATTAAGTAAAGTATGTAGGGATACAATTCCAGAAAATCTTTATCTGGATTAGGGATTACAATTATTTTAGAATTACGCCAGTAATGGAAGAAGATCACTATAATGCAATGCACTGCTGAGTGACAGAAATTCAGGTACAAGACTATCTTTAAATGCCCTATAGAATTCACCTGTACCCCATCCAGGCCCAGAGATTTTCCATCCTTAAAAATTAAAAATTTCATTGACCTCTGATTTTGAAAATGGAGAATTCAAATATTGAACATGCATTACAGATAATTCTGGAAAATTCAATTCATCTAAATATATATTTTTTCTATTACTGGGTTCTTAGAGTCTGGAAAACACCTTTTCCAACTAACATATTTTATTAAAAGGCATAAGCTTTCATGAGCTGCAGTTCATTTCATCAGATGCATAGAGTAGCTACACTGATGTACAATCCCCCTACCCCCAAGCCAGTTAACAGACATTTACAGAGGATTAATTAAATCCTCTGATTGATCTAGTTTAGGGAGGTGCTACTTTGAGCTTTGGTTTCCCTCTTCCCGGCACATTTAATCCTTATTGACTTATCCTTTTTATCCTTATCCATTTTAACTTCTAATAATATTTTGCTGTCCTCTGAATTTTGTCTTACTTATTTCCCAATTAATATGAAACATTTATTTTATAAAATCAACAAATGCAAGATAATTCTTTGCTCATACCTTCTTATAAATTATATCAATTTTTAAAAATCCAAGGCTTTTCTCTATTATTCATTCTCTATTATTCATATGGAATATTCTTTAGATTGGGTATAACTCTATTTCTGTCTTGAAGCATAGAAATAATATATTTTCATTGTGGTTGAAATAAAGTTAGTTTGAAAGGAAAACTCCATTTATACTGTTTTCTGCTTTTTGTTAAGTCTTCTGCCAAAGGCTTGAAGGCTTCTTTTCTTTGCAACCTGGCTGAAAAAATAGCACTTTATCTCCATCCCAGTTTCAATCTTCCATCCCACGAGCTTTTTGCAAAATTATGTCTCTCATTTGAACATTTGTAAAACTTACCTCCCTTGTTTTTGTATCTGACTATAGGCATATTCCACATTCTTATCTGAAATTTTTAAATCCTGTAGTTTGTTTTTTCTGCACGTTCTCTAATCCTCTAATTCTCAAATTATTTCTTTTATTCTTATCCTGCGTATCAGCCAAATCCAGGCTAATGTCTATTAAGTTATTTTTGCACTTTTCCAATATCAAGCATGTTTCTTGTAACAGCACCATATGCTTTGCTAGCAGTCTGGTCAACCTCCGAAACTTGAGAAGATAATTCTTTTAATAATAATAATAAGCAAGTTTAAGTTAATAATAAACAAGTTTATTAACTTGTTCAACATACCTGACAAGTCCTGCTGAATGTTAGCTGACCTATTCCATTCTACTTTTGGTTCCTGTTTGAGTTGCTTAAATAGATTTTCTATCAAGTCAAATTCATTGCTTTGTCTCAAAAGGAGCTTAATTTTCAGTGCTCTGTTGGAACATCTTCCTCCTCCACCACTTCTTCATTATTACGGTGGGATGCTGCTCCATTCCCTTTGTATGCATTAACACGTTTGTCTTTGGGGGACTTAATTTTTTTAGACATCTTACTACTAATATTGCCAATTAGCTGAATACTATTAAAGAAAGTGGTGAAAATTATCTGTAATTACCTGAAAAGCCAGATAAGGAGGAGGGCAATCAGCTCAGCTTGCTAGTATCCCTGGTGGCCAGCCATGCCCCGCAACACTCTAGGATTTTTAAACATGGTAGTCCAGTGTGTTCATAAAATCTACAGCGATATTGCTGAAAAAATCATTGTTGCATGTAACACAATTACAATAACAAGATGCGGGCAATATGTGATGTTCATCTTGATCCCAGTCTTGTATTTAAAGAGTATTTATTTTATGAAGAACATCTCCAGCATGATGTGAATTATATAAAAAAATCCAAAATAGAGATAAGTGCACTGTTCTTTTTTTCTGTATTACATTGTTATCTATGATGTCTATAAGATTGTCCAAATTTGGTGGATAGCCAAAACAAATGGGATTTCTAGAGTCTGGATTGTGACTGAAGGGTGTATTATATATACTGCTATAGCAGATTTTGAAACTTGTGAAGTAGTTATACTCAAGTTGCTTTAAGAATTGTATCTGAGCTTGTTTGGAGGTTCTAGCAGGGGAGCGCAGCCAACATATACCCTTGACCGAAGATCAGTACACTCCTTCTATCTGGGATGCTCATCCTCTTCCACCAAGCATGCAGCTTTGGGAGGGACACACATGGAGCGGTGAGGGTGGAAGGGGACACCCGCCTAGCCAGCCAGATCAGCTGAATCAACCCTGGCAATCAACGGGGTAACAGATGTCACAGCCAGATCACCCTCACATGTTATAATAACAGAATAAAAGAAATAAAAAAGAATTGTATCTGACCTATGGCTAATCCATGCATATACCAATTAGTTCTAGAAATAAAAACCCGTCTGTCAGTCCCTGCTCCTCATGAAATCCCCAAATAGCTCTATCAGTACCTTGAATTCATGATTCACATTAATATTTTTAAATGGGAAAGTATTTTTAGAACTTCTCCCAATTTAAAGAAAATGGTCCATGTTCTATGCTCAGCCTTTGAGGAGATCAAGCTCAGGAAAAAAAAATCAGGTCTGCATGTTGATAGAATCCATACAGCGTTAATGATTACAGCCATGATTTTTTAAAAAGCTCATACATCGTAACATTTATGTTAATATATTTTAACTTAGAACACAAACAGTGGGAATGCTGATATCAGAGCATCCTCTCTTTCAATCACCCAGAACAATTGGAGAAAAGACATTTCATCAATTATTCCAGAAAAATTAAAATATGATGGGGAGACAGCTGGCTTGAAAAAATCAAGGGGAAAATTGTTTTAGAATAACGTATGAAGAAAATCATCTTACCTGCAACATTTAGCACTGAGAAGAATTGCTTTGTCAATAGGAATGAAGTGACCTCAGGGGACAGGCCCTGATGGCACATGAGAGTCCTACCTTGCTGAAACAACCCAGGATTGAGTCTGTCATGTCTGGATGGGATACTGTCTTTTGCTAGATGCTAAAAGGAAGGCAATATATAAATGTATTAAGTACATTCGCAAGTATGTTTAATATATGCGGCACATCACTAATAAAATGTCATCCTGCTTCAGCCTCATTAATTCCAGTGAATGCAGTAGAATTGTATATGAATGAAACCAGACAAAGAGGAGATTTTAAAAACAGCTTCTTTAATGTTTCAGTGAGGGAAATCTAGCCACCAAGCAAGTTGTTTTCCTTCAGCGGCCAGCTATGGGGAATCCAGCTGCCCAGATACCTGAGGTAAGAATCACAATCTGAGTACAGGTAATCCATGTTTGCTCCCTTAAAAGCCACTCCTGTGTCTTGCTCATCATGAGATGAGGCAAAGGGCTTACATGGGCAAAGGGGATTCAGAGAATTCAGTAGGTTAATTGGCACACGCAGAGCTGCTGTGTCATTTGTACAGGTCAACTTTGTCTCACCTGAACGTGTTTTCTCTCATTTTCTTCCTTGAGCTTGCTGCTGAACAAAATGTAAGGTGTAGACTTTTTTTTTTTTAATCTAGCTTTCCCCCTGTTTATCCTGCAAAGCCACTGGAAGCTCTTAAGCATGCCCCAGGGGTCTGCAGCACCCATAGGACAATATGTGAAAGAACTTCATTATTACCGAGAACAATTTTTTTCACTCCATTATAAAGAGCACATTGTGTAGTTATGCAATTACTAGGATGAGCTATGTAACAGATTGTTATCCATTTCCTTGTGAGATGAAAAGGACATTGAAAATAAAAGATTCAGAATACCTTGCCCAAGTGATGTCCTTGGATGATCCTTTCTCCATTTCCTTAGGCACACTGACCATTATATGGCTTTTTCAGCAGGGTGTGGTGATGGTAGCAACTGTTATATCCCTGGCTTGCGACAACTGTCTCTGTGTAGAGTTCTAAGGGTCAAATACTGATTAGCATTTTCTCTTACAAGGCATCTCTCTCCAAATTCCTCTGTCCTCCATGCTGCCACACCCAATCCCACCCTGTAATCTTTTTGGAAACCGGGTTGCCTATAAGATGAATATTGTTGTATTTTGAGATTCAGCTTTGTAAGTTTATCTCATGAAAGAGAAAAGGATCAAAGGAAATAGCCACAAAGGACTGTTAATGATCTGTTTTTCCTTTTGCTCATTTTCTCTCTTTTCTTCCCTAAAGTAGTTTCACCAACAAGTTATTAAAAATGCATAAAGTTTGAAAATGCTTAAAGAAAAAAAAAATGGAAAATGCAAGTTGATAAGGTGTTTTTATATTTGGTCTGGGCACCAAAGGAACAGAAAACTTACTGAATACGAGAAGGTTTAGCACAATCCATTTTAAGAGGTTGTATTTTGCAAATGCAGGCCAAGTAAGGCTTAAATTCTTAGAGCCATTCATGAAGGAGTACCTTCAGCAATCACTTTTCCAGGGCAGCCCCCCTCCCCAAACTTCTTTTGAAGGGCTCTCCTGAAGAAGGTGGGCTGTGATGCTGAGCAACGGTGGAAAAGTAACCTATTTCACATTTCATGAAGGGGGCCTGCACTTTTTTTAAAAAAATTGTTCTTTCCCCTTAACCTAGGAGGATCTCCTGATTTTAAAAATTAGATTACTTGGGATGGAAGGTGAAAGGAATTAAAAACAGGTGGAAGGGATAGGAAAGCCCTCCACATGCCACGTTTTTTGTAGACCAAAGCCATCATTTCAGAAAGGGAGCACATATAGATTTTCAGAAACCTTTATTCCTAGAGTGTCTCATTGAAGCATTTCTTCCTAATTGGTATTAATTTACACTAAACATACTAAGGTTTTGATCTGCTGAGTAATATCACAGTTGTTTCAGTTGCTGAAAATACACTTTAAATATGCCTTGTTTTTTCAGTTTGCATGGACAGTTTCTAGGAACTTCTTTTCGGGTTTAATATGTTACTGATATTTAAGCCTTTAAAGCACTAAGAGAGCAAGACATGCATACATCTCCTTGAATTTACTTGATGGCCAAATCTATAACACTATCTGTGCCTATTACACATTTGGACTCCATTACACAGCTGGGAATCAATGGACTAAATTTTTGTCACCCATCCTACAAATGTATTCCTATTACTTTTGGGAGAACTTTGATCTTGGAAGAGAGGAAATATTAAGAGATTGGCTTTTTGAAAGGGATGCCAATAAAGATGCCACTGCAGTACAGTCATCCAAATTTTCATCTTGGTATCATCATTATAAAAAACATAGAAGCCTCTTAACCTAACCAGTGCTTCACTGAGAAGGACTTTAACATCCCTTTTCCTGCAGACCATGCCCTCCACGTATCTCAAAGGGAGATTTTGTAAGCTCCCTGTCAAACAGTGCCTCTGTCCTCGTGGGGCTGGTCAAGTGGAGGACATTATCTATTACGTCCTCCACTGCCCCATTTGCAATGAGATCAAGGCCAAATTATTAAAGGCAGGTGAACTCAAGCACTCCGACCCTGAAAAGTTAAACTATCTTCTTGCAGATGTGTTCCCAACCGTCAGCAACCAAGTTGCTACTTTTGTTCTCCTATCATTTAAACTTAGAAATACTTAAGTTCTTAGCTGTAGCCTTGACTTTATTTTGCTGTAACCTTTTTACATCTAATATTTTTTTCTATTACTCTATTTTATAATTTCACTATTTTATTGTTTTATTATTTTATTGTATTTTATGGCATTCCTATGTTATGACCTGTGGTTACAATAAACTTATATACTTACTTACTTACATTTGGAGGAAGTAAGGAAACTGGATTCAGTCTCTGATCTAAGCCATCAAAAATAACAGCCAGCTGTAAAATTAAGACTTCAGCATCAGAAACATGCTTGCAGAACTTCTGTGGATGCCGTTCCTTATTCAGCAGGAAATACATGACTAGAAAGCCTTCTTTTATGAATTCATGGCTTATCTGCTTCAGGATGAATACAGTATAGAATAATCCATATTCCCAAATCTGATGGTATCTGAAGAAAGATAATCACACCTAGGTCTCATTGAAACTGGTTGTTTTAAGCTGGTGATTACTACTCTTTTATTCACTTCAGTGTGATTTAAATGTGATTAATTTGTATTGTATACATCCATTCTTTTTAAAGTAAATTATAGTCTTCAAAATATTTAATTTAAACTCCAGTGTAAATTATTACTCCAGTATAAATATTTAATTTATACTCCAGAAAAATTGCTGCTTTCCTTCAAGAGTTCAAAGAGGCACTTTACCTGAGGTTTTGCTTTGTGGTATATTTTGAATGGGAAAAAAATCCCTTATGGAAAGTGTGCGTATTGAAAACTATCCCCAAATGCAGTTTACTCCCAGGTAAATGTAGTAGTTGAGCTGTAGTCATTTTCCAAATATAAAATATTTGGACTTAAATAAAAATATGATACACTGATGGTAACTACAAAATGATTAAAATAAGTTTATAAATACTGTAATATTGTAATATTCATTTAATGTATTAATTGATTTCTTACAGAAATATTTGGTTCTAAGTCATTCTGGGTTAATTATATTATGATGGGAGAAATAGGAGATTAAAGAAGCACCATTAAAAACATCTGGTAAAGAAATTACTTGTTTATTTTAGGTTTTAGGATTTCAGTTCTAGTTAGTAAAACCAAATATTCAGAATAGTGGCCTTAGGGAACTGTATCTTAAAAGTTGAAAAGGTTAAAAAAAATTATCTCCATAGGACTAGGAATCAAATATTGAAACCGAAAGGCATAGATAGATCCCTGCTTGGATGTATTAATTGGTCATTTTGGATTTAAATTGTTTGAAAGTACAGTAATCATCAAAGTTGCCATTTTGCTCTTAAGATATCTATGTCTGTGTATACATTATGCTGTTTAATTGTAAATCACAGGTGTTTGATGTACAATTGAAATACATTTTCCAATTCAGACTTTATTATAAGGATAACATTTCTAGGAAAAAATGGGGAGGTGATTTGCTCAAATAACTGGAAGAGGGTGCACAAAAATACTTTTTAAAAGCTCTGTACATCAGTATCTCAGGAAGTGGCAGCACCTGGCTAACTTTGTCTGGGATCAGGCACTAAATAGCATCAACCCTGATTTATTCTTGGATGGGAGACTATTAGGGAACCCCAAGGCTGTATCTTAGGCAGAGAAGTTAAAGAGCATCCCAAAAAAGGCAATGGAAAACCACTTCTATAAGGTTGCCAATAAAGTGGTATGGACATGCTCATGAAGTCACTAGGAATCAAGTTCACTATGAAAGAATCTTTACACGGTACACCAACACTGAAAGCTTAATTTAGATTTTTATTTAAAGATCCTTCTAATAGTTTACACTTAGCAAATGCTATTTTTTAGGTCAAAAGGAGAATAAGCATTGTTTAATGTATACAGAACAGGATCAGATTAAGGACCCTGTAGCACTTGCATTTCTGTGCTGGAGCGTCAGATTTGTAGCCTGTTGAATTAATGGTTGGTTGCAACTACAGGATAGGAATGCTGTGCAAAGATATTGGCAGAATCCCCTCTACTCAGCATCTAAAAGCTTTTCAATCTCCTGGGAACTTGGCAGTGCTCTGTGCTGGCTATACATAATTATGAAGACAGGGATGAGGAACTACATTCCAGAATTGGATCTGGTCTTGGCAGTACACAATAGATGTCAAAGCTTGCTTTGTAAAAGCAGCCAGTGTGTGAAACAAGACTAAATTCAACAACGATTCAGCCATTCTGAAATCCCAGCTCATATTCAAACAGATCCCTGCCGATATCAACTATAAATCAAGTTCCTTTTTATTTCAGAAAAAAACTACTAGGCAATTTAGAGAAGAAAAGTTGAACATAACAAGTGGAAATGTTGGATCAGATACAGGTACTTCTCAGCCTGTACAACGTATGCAACCTACAGAGGAGTTCCTTTTATCACCTTCTCCACAGTGCTGGCCCAAGGATGAATCTGCCCAATATGGAAGCTTCTCTGCATTCAAGAGCAGCGATGGCATGCTTAGAGAATTGGAGGAAGGACAGTTTGACCAAGAAGATGGGGTCACTCAAGTGACTTGTATGTGACCAGAAAATTACTAAGAGGGACCTGTAGGTATTTTTTTAATGCAAAAGTATAATATTTTATAAATATGCATAGGCATAATTTTTTTGTTTCCTTAGCCACATATGCGTATGTTGAAGTCTTTTTGCTGACTCTTTTGAGGAAACTATAGAAAAACTATTTCTATTGCATTTACAAAAATATTAACTTGTACATTAGGTCAATTGTATTGGTATTATATAATGGTATGTTATATGGTATTGTACAGAGAGCCTGTTTGGTGTAGTGATTAAGGCACCAGGCTAGAAACTGGGAGACCGTGAGTTCTGGTCCTGCCTTAGGCATGAAGCCAGCTGGGTGACCTTGGGCCAGTCACTTTCTCTCAGCCTTAAGAAGTAGGCAAGGGCAAACCACTTCTGAAAAACCTTGCCAAGAAAACTGCAGCGATTAGTCCAGGCAGTCTCCGAGAATTGGACATGACTGAACGGATTAAAAACAAAAATGGGTATGTTACATTCCTAGAACAACGCTATAAACTGCTGATTTTCTTTGAAACCTTCCTGGCAACTGGAAAGGAAACAACTACAGACAGGTATTGACTCTTGCCCTTTTGGAAAGCATAACTTTTCCTACACTGTGTGAAAATATGATGCAATAGCAATAATATGCTGTTATAAACATAACAAGGATTAAGAACAAATTAAAATGGTTTATAAACAACTGTGTCATTACTGAGCTTCACCTTTACTCTCACTGTGCTCAAAATACCAAAACTCAAATGGTGGTCATGAGACTTTTGGCTGGATTATTATCTGTGAATGGTCCATAACGTGAGATTGTTGGGAAGGAGATGAAGAATTAAGGCTTTACACAAATGCCTTCAGATTCTGTCCTGGGAAGGCGTGGCAGAGCTGTTGTATACTATGAAGCGAACTATTTTTAAATGTATTTCTTCATATTTGACTGCATTTTCTAAAAAGAAGAACACATATTGCTTCAGTCTGGGGAGGGAAAAATGACCAGAGTCAGAGCAGGCAGAAGGGGAATTTAATTGCTGCTATTAATAGGGGATTTTGTCTCTGTGTGAATCCCAGCCTGAGGAATTTCCCTTAGAAATACATCAGGGAAGAAAATGAAATGAGTTCTCCGTGCTCTGGGGACTGCTTAACAGCCCATCACCAGTTAATGTGATTTTCAAAAACACATTTGTATTTCCAATGATGTTTAGCCCATTCAGTGTTTACTATACTGCTTAATGTTTCCCAGCCTAAGGCAAACTCCCACCAGTCCTGATCACTTCTGGACACCAGGGGAACTGAAGTCCAATATCCTGGGTCCTCCAAGTCTGAGATTTAAATTTTTATCTGTACAGAATATTCAACATAAAAAAACAAAAAAATCAGGAAGAGTAAAAACTAGGCATTTAAAGCCACATTAAAATTGTATATAAATACAATTAAATTTATTGGTGCTAGTACTTCTAAAATCCTTTATATTTCTATTAATGTATTATATCTGAATAAATAATAGCCTAATCCAAGAACTTTCTATGTTTAAAGCATACCCTGTGCCCCAAGGATATAGCCCTGTCCTGAGATTGGATCTGAGAATAATTTACCCTGGTCTCTATTTCCCATCTGCAACTGGGCCACTTTGAGAACAGGTGGACAGGTTCTAGCCTTTCCTATATTATTGGGCATCTGCTGCTGTAATCACTGAGCAGGAATTAGTCCAACTGTAGCTAGAGGGCTCTCAGCTGCTCACTCCAGTATTAGACCATGTTCTTTTTTCCAGTGAATTCTTACAGCTGACTCCCCAACTGTGTTAAACCAAGGGATAAAAAGTTCCTGAGCAGACACATGCTTAGGCAGTGTGTCACTATGCCAAATATTCATCAAAACCTTCACATGAACTTTAGCTGGCACAGTCAAAATGTTAAGGACTGTGTATTGCTTTAAAATACACTGTTCCGTTTCTTTCATCAAACTGCACAAGTGGACTTTAGAGTAAAGCATGTCCAAAGTCAGGATTAGGACTGAAATTTAGTGTGGCAATTACAAACTTGAGGGTAGAGCAGTTAAGACATTCCTATGTACCAGAGCATCCAAGTAAACAGCTTATAAAATCTGTTTCCAAGAGCATCTTCCTTTTACTGGAGAAAAATCAGATTGCATCTTTATAAACACTCCTATTCCAATCACAGTATACCTTTTTAATTATTCCTAAATTCTTCTCACTTTCTGGAAATACATTTTTTCTATTCTAATCTGCACATATTTTAAATAGAACTCTTAACAGTCTAATCCTATTTATAATTATTCAGAACTAAATCCCATCATGCTTAGGAGTATTGTTCCTAATTCCCAGAAAAGTAGGCTTGGTTCAATTACTGACAGTAGAAAACCTTAGAGGAAAATACTGAGTTCTGCTAGAAATAAAGGAAGAAAACAACAGCTACAAAAGAACTCAGTGGCAAATATTATATTCATATCAAGTGCATATTTCTCATATCCTTTAGCAGTCTGAAGGGAGATGGTTTCTGCCTTGAGACAGGAAAAATTCTTAACTCTTGCTTTTAAGCAAGAGGAGGCGACCAAGAAATCATCAGTTGGTGCCCAACAATTCATCTGTTTTATGGTGAAATGGTCTTAACTTCCATGCTCAGTAGTCATTTTACGAAAGTATATGCCCCTCCACAGCAGGCCTTTTATGGAACACCTGAAATATACATTCTAAATTCCAAATGTTCTTCTCAAAATTGGTTAACCACTGCCTTAAATTTTGCTTCAATCAGAAACAGCTCAACTGTCTCTCAAAGCAAGACTGGGGCAATTCCGGACCAGGAATGGGTTTCACTATGAGGTTAAAACTATTATTTTGAAGCAATTATGTTACCACCTAAAGATTACACCCTCCTTTAAGTCTATAATGACATAATTGCAGCACTAGGTTTCAATCATCCTGAGCACAGATACAGTACTGTGCAAAAGTTTTAGGCAGGTGTGAAAAAATGTTGTAAAGT